GAACTAAATCAGAGTTGAGTACATGCTCTTCTTTCGTGCTAATTTCACTTTCAAAATCATTTTTTATATGAATTTTTTTTATAAACATTGTCCTACTTCCTTCTTGAAAGACTTTGCTGCGATTTTCAAATTATGATTAATGTTGACTTTTATGCACAATTAGAACAAGGGATAGACCGATTTCGAGCCCACAAGTCCACAAGTTGTACATGTTCCTTATGACTAAATATTGTGAGATCAATAGTAGCATTGCTTCAATTTGTAGTGACTGTCAAGGTTTATAATTATGGGTTAACTTAGAATTTTTGTGATTTAGAATTGTATGGACTTAACCATCGATTACGCTTACATTTGGTGCTGTGGACTTCGTAATTGTTAGTTGAATGTTGTACGCTTTAGTTGTCGAACTTTTCTTCCTATATTAGCTTTTTTCTTTTGAGATTATTACTTTTACTGTTATTATATTTGTTGTTATTATTCAAAGAAATATCTTTTTTTATTATAAAAAAAGTCAAACATTTCAAGTTGAGGTCAATCATGTTGAGAATGAATTTCATATTGATTGGAAGAGAAACCTTCTATGAGCTTATAGGATATTAGAGCCAGATTGTCAATTGATTTTATGGTAGAACTCTAACTTCCTTCATGCTATTAGAGTCAGGTTGTCCTATGTGAAAAGTCTAACGGCCACATGTGCTCTACATCAACCCGTTTGTGTTGTCTATATGTTTGACTTGAAAATTCGTCACACGTGAATTGCATGTTGAGAAGGAATCCTCCAGTGATGGGAAAGGGATTTTGCATGAGCTTATAAGTAAATTAGGCTACTCACCACATTGTCAATTGATTTTATAGTAGAACTTCAAATTTTTCATAGTATCAGAGCCAGGTTATTCCACTTGTGAACTCCAACGACCATACATGCTTCAAGTGCTAAGCTTGAAAATTTTTCACACGTGAGAAACATTTTGAGAATGAATCACACATTAATAGGAAGAAAAAAGAAACCCTTACATAAATTTATAAGTTAGTCGAGCTACTTTCTCCATGCACACACATATATCGAGATATTAAGGATTCTAAACTTATCAAAGGAGTATAATTGGAAGGACCGCAACTTAACATTTGTCCCAGCGCTTCCAAATCTTCCTAAATTTCAAGGGTTCCCAAAATATCCCAAAAGCCATCACTAGAGGACAGGAGACAGTAGGTGGTCAAGAGGTAAAGAGGGTTGAGACATGAAGGGCCATGGGTGAAGGCAACTCACATGATGTTGGGGTAGTCACATTGTCATGCTGATGTAAAGCGGGGCAAACGCGCGAGTTCTCTCTTCTAAATCGAGTAATCCCATGAAACTGATTGACCCAATTAGGACAACACAGTTCCATCCGATCTCATTACTTCCCACTAAAAGGTTGCTAACTTTTCTCATTGTCTGTACCATTATTTTGCTGGTGGATCTGCTGGGACATTCAGATCATACAGGAAATGGGGGGCAAGGACAATCTGGTCTTGATTTTGGTTTTGAACTTTTGAATGAGAGTAAAGCCGGTTTGCTTTGGGAAATGCTGTTGATGTATGCGGTTTGGCTAGGGTCTAAAATTTAGAAATGGGGGAACCACCTTCTCAGAAGATTGAACTAAAGCAGGAAATATATCCTATAGCATTGTAGCCTTAGCAAATCCAGTAAACACAAACAACAAAAGGGACCCGACTGCACAAGCAACCAATCTTCTTCAATAACTTGATTTCACATATCAAAATCATCAGTTTAACATATTTGTAAATATGAAGGGAAATAATTTACGTGTACTTTTTTTTCAATCCTTCTGCACTTATTTTTGTCTCTTAATTTTTTTATATATTCAAATAAACAAAGGTGTATAAAAAGAAAAAAAATAATGTCCACAAATTAGTTCCCTGCGTGAAATGTACTGTATAATGGGGCGGGAAAAAAAAACCATTATTGACTCGTACTCAGCCCTATGAAGAAGGGTTAAATCTTTATTACTCACGGTTAAAAATTCGGAGTATTCTATCATTCAATACACCATAAAAATTTAGCTTTTTAGTCAAAATGGTTTATGATATTAGTATAACTCCTTATTTTGATCTCTGTTAATGAAAATAGTTAGAAGTAATCCATGAGTTTGTCTACCGTAAATTATTTTGGTCATTTCATGAAAAATCTAGAGGGGCTGGTCTGACAAAAACACTCTTAAAAAAGTGGTCATGGAGTCGCTCACATGACAATTTAACGAGGATATTGACAGATTTTACACAGAATGATCAAAATGATTTATGGCGGACAAACTAATGGACCACTTCTATCAATTTTCATTGTCAGAGACCAAAGTGAGAAATTACGTCAATCTTAACAAATATTTTTACTAACAAGCCTAAAACTTTTCGTGGAAAAAAATCGTGAAACCGTATCTGCAAAACACGTACAATACAACCCAGGAGGATCCTAGGGATCCTTCAATTACATTCGTTCATCATACATCGTATGGTTAGAAATTATTGTAATTTTTTTTATTTAAAATTAAATACAAATAATACTTGACAAAAACTAATTATATAATGTATAATGAATGAATATAATTAAAGAATTTTTGGAATTCTTCCAAAAAAGATCCGACGAAGATCCTCACTCCAATACAACCAGCAACATGCAGAAGCAACCACAAAAGTGTCACATCCCTACAAAGTAAATAAAGCCGAACTTTTTGATGGGTGGTTGATACTACATGGAGAGTACAGAAAAGGGTTGTAAAAGCAAATGTCCCGTGTAGAGTCGGTTGTACGTGCTGTGTCATTATGTCACTTTGAGAGAGAACCCTAGGAGGGTATAGCATACTAGTCTTTTTACAAATTATGTCAAATACAGTCCATTCTAGATGGCGGTCTCTCGCTTGTTTTAGTTCTAATTTGGTATTGAGATGATTCTGAAAAAAATGGTTATAAAAAAAAGCTAAGAACTATTTTATATTAGGTAAACATTCAACTTCATCTTTTTTTTTACAGTTTTGCGTTAAAAAAAGTCAAAAACACAAAACTGCAAAACCCAGCTTTGAAAAAGCAATTTTTTTTACATCTGTTTTACATAAAAGTTTATCAAACACTACTGCTTTTTTTCTTTCAAGTTTTTCTTTCAAAAGCACTTTTACAAAAAAGTTTACCAAACACTCTGCTGCTTTATTTCACAGCTGCTTGTTCTCACAGCACATTAGAAACAATTTTTTTTTCAAAATACAACAATACCAAACCAACCCTTAGTTGGACAATTGGCTCCCATACAAGAGGTTTGGGAACCTGCCATTAGATGTTTTATATTATTTGACGTCGATCAGTTCCAGATGAACCAATCGCATCGATCTCCCGTACGACAAGTACCCTTTAACGCTTCTAGGTCATAACTCATAAGAATATTGTAAATCAAATTCCCACTTGATCATGCATCCAAAGGGAAAGACCATGATGACATATTGGGATAACTCTAGACCAATAGTTACAAGGTTGCTCGTTTCCTTTCTGAGAGAGTACATGGGGATGGCATTGGCACACTAAATACTAGGCAGTGGTAAGATTTTGCCGATATTTTTCTTCATTTAATGGGTGAAGAATTCTGGTTCCATATGAACTTGTCTGGTTTCTAGAATTTGATTAGATTTGATGAATGACTATATTCAAAAGTTTAATCTTGAAGGAAGAAATAAAAAAGTTGTGTCTAACTTAAAAGGTAGAAGGTGGATTACTTAGTAAGGAAACTTGATATCTATTTCAAGATCCTTAAAGTATGGTAAGGTTAGACAACATGAGTTTCTTTCATATCTAATGTTGTCTTTCATGTCTAATATTCCGGCGGTGGCTTTCTAAGTGTACATAGGAACCTTTGCCTTTGTGTTTGAGGGTGGTTGTTTCCATATCCTACTTTGAGTAGCTAATTATTCTCACATAATCTTCTATTTTAATTTTTGCTTCCAATCCTCTCAAAATGAAAAATCATTGACTTCCACATTTAATATACTTTGAAATTTAAGAGTCACCATACAATTCATTCCAATTCTAGGCTCCAAATGAACTCTTAGATTATCGATAACAGAATGTTTAATAACAGTTTTATGTTATAGTAGTGAAATAAGGAAAAACTGAGATGAGGTTGTATTTAATTTGTAGAAATTAATGTTTCCTTCTAAATTATGCGCCCTAGCTTGACAAGAGAAACTCCCTTGCTCCCGGCCGTTTCACCATCTGTCTTGTTTCTATCTTCACATGACATGATCAATGTCCGTCGCTTCATTTCTCTCATCGCATGATAGGTCATGTCAAGAGAGCAATAGAGGGTTGACAGTTGGTCGACAATGGTTTTAGGTATCGAGAAAAATCTGAATCACTCGCTACCGTACAAATTACAAGAACTTAAACTCCAGTTTGCTCTACGAATGTCAATCAAGATTTGTTATAATAATAAGGATACTATTTTCCAATTGTCCTCAAACACCGGTCACGTGTCCCTGGGAAGATCGGATACAACTCCTAGACAAACATGCCTCCAAAGGTCCCCCATTTTGTTTCTTTTCCATTGGCCTTCTATAAATTGGTAACTAGCTAGTAACTACGTGTTCATTCGACCTTATTGGTCGACATAATGCAGTGTTGCAATTAAAAAACCATGCATGTTTGGAGCGCTGGTGCATGTCTGTTGTTTTAACTTTTAATTCGCGGCTTCAGAGATTTTATCACATTATTTGTAATCATTTAAGTTCTGTGGGGTTTCGATTAATGAAATATTACTCGTGTATCAGTGCCTTTCTCTTGCTAAGAGATTGTTGTCTTTCGATTTCTTAGTTCTCTGCAATTGTAATGTGGTAGAAAAAACGGGGAGAGAGACATTTCAGGTCTCTCCACGCACTTAGAGATAAATAATGGAGCCTATATATCTATCCATTTAAACACATCGGTTCTTTAGAACAACCGAAAAGGCATCACACATTGAACCGAGGAATCAATATCTTTATTTTTACGTTCATATACTTCAACATATTATGCAAGGATCTTCAGGCCTTATTTTTGTTTCCTTTCCAAAAAGCTGGGACTACCTACCATAAACCAAAACTGAACATGGTGAATTTGCGTCAAAACACGCTGCTTCCGGTGAAGCTTAGGGTAACACTTGGAAAGATGAGACCCGTCATGGTGTCACCGTGGTCATGTGATGACTGTGGGCTTCTCCCTTCCAGTGAATTCCTTCAGCTTCGATACAGACAATGCCAAATCTAAAGCGTAACCAGAAATGGAGTAATAAGTAACAATGTATGTAAGGCTTCGTTATAGAAACACAGAAAAACTAACCTATCAATGGCTTTAGTGCCGTTTGGGCATCCACGTCATGTTTAGAGGCATCTGGTTCATATTGTTCAATGTAAATTCGAACAGTTGCTCCTGCTGAACCCGTTCCCTATACAGATACATGAAATTGTAAGATACTTCCATTCTGTTCAAGATTTAAGTCCCCAAGATTAAAGTATAAATAAGTCATCAAAATAGGTAAAGAAAGAAAGTTTATTACTGATAAGCGATATATGATCCTTGATCCATCTGTAAAAACAAACCGAACACCTTGCTTTGACGTCACACTTCCATCAACCTGCAAAATTGTATGAGATTGGATTTAAACAAGATGACCTAGCAAACTATTCATTTGCTTGAAGTCAATTTTGAGGAAGGAGAACATGTAATGGGACTTACAGGATCAGTGTACGTAAAGTCATCAGCAAATTGGAGAATGTAATTTCCTGTGGGATGATAACTTTCAGCCTCCAAGATCACGATAGTATCAAGAAAAGAGTACAAACTTACCGTACTTGTCACCGGTCTTGCTGCTAGAGATCAATTCTCGAAGATAATCTATCATTTTGTTGGCAGATGCAGACTCGCATTCCTGGGTAAAGTATACACGATTAGAGAACTGCACAAAGTTCCACAACTGAAACTGAAATACCGACTGATTATACAAATATGATTTAGAATGCAATTGTGATGCTTACTTCGTAGTCATATCGAGAAAAGAAATTTCTTCCATAGGTTGCCCAGTGTTCCTTCACGACGTCTGCAACAGAGACCAACTTCTCCCCAGGTTTTTTGTCTTTGTTACGATATGCAATGATTGAAAGCCAAGCTAAAACTGCCCTGTCATTGGTAAATACTTGAGTCATTTTACTCAAGTGACCATTCTTTTTCTTAACACCAAAAGAAGTGATAATCGATCGTGTGATAGAATGGGGAAATTATCTTTAGCAATGAAAATAAGAAGTTGAAGCGTCAGGCATAGAATTAGAAAAATACAGAAACAAAGTATGATGTTAGAAACGCCTAAATAGAAATAGAAACAAAGCAATATTTCAAGTAAGTGCCAAATCAAGTAACGGAACAAAAGGATTCAAGAAAGCAACTTAAGCAGAAAATTACAGCTTTTGTTATTAAGAAGCCTAGATAGGGAAAATCTTGTTTAATGCAGAAAAAATGTGCACCACCATGATCACCTAAAGTATAGATTTAGACAAATACCATATGCCATCTTTCTCGCGGATAACCTGTTCCAAAACTCTCTTCCCCACATATAGATAACTTCCCAGCATCCATAAGATTCCCAAAGAACTTCCAACCAGTGGGAACCTGAGCCCGAAAAAGGTACATTATATGTTACTAGAAGAGCTTCTTGTAGAATTAAACAACTGCACCAAATACATTATGTTTCTACATTTTCTATCAATACAATAGTCAAGGAGAATGAAACCTCAAAGAAAGGAAGCTTCAATTTTTCAGCAACACGATCAAGTGCACCACTTGTTGGCATGGATCGAGCTAATCCTTAAATAATTAAAGGAAATAAACAGTCATTTCTTGTTGTTCTACAAGAAAATCGCACTGCAAACAAATAACAGTGGAAATAAAGGTGCACGACCTTGGGGCCCCTCCGGAAGTATGGAATAGCTTCTTGGGCATTGGCTGCAACAATTGCAACAGAGTCTGAAGGAGTAACAAAAAAGCCTCTACCAAGAATCATGTTCCTATCACCATCCCCTAATCAAAAATGAAATTTTTGTCATTCAACACAATGATACGTCCATTGCAACTTCTAAAGCGGCAGTTATAACGGAAATCTGTATAATGTATGACTTTGGCATTTCCATACTAAACCAAACAGCATGGCTCTTTAGTCATAAATCCATGCACACAAATTCTCTCCTTAGTCATCTAACATACCATCACTAGCAGCCCCAAAGTCAGGTCCATTTTCGCTATACAGAATGTCGACCAAATCCTTGGCATATCTATTTGACAACACAAGTCAAAATTAGCAGTGGCCTAGTATAATAGTAAGGCAACACAACTTTAATTACTAAACTCTTACGTAAGATTAGGATCTGGATGGCCATGACCAAAATCCTCCAGAGGCACTCCATTTGAAATTGAATCCTATACACAGCTTGCCAAACACCTCTCATTAGGAATACAGACATTAGATAACATGCAGAGTATAATCACTTTGAAGTTGTCCTACACGCAGCATACCAGACTGGCTCCAAGCTTATCCACAAAGATGGGTTTCGCATAAGCACCAGTAACAGCATGCATTGCATCAAACATAAACCTGAAAAGTTCCAGTCATTAAGAAATATTTCAAAAACCATGATATTACCCTCTATGAGTTTAAAAACTTTACACTGAAGCATGGCACAAATGAATAGGAAGTGATTCCTAATTACTAACAAATTCCCGGTTCTAAACCTATATCCAGAGTGAACTAAACTAGCATACAAAAGAGTCATTGCTAGACGTCAGATTAACATACCTGAAGTCTAACTGTAGAAGACTTTTGATAAGTTGGAAATCAAATACGTTCTGCACAAAATCCCATAGAATTAGTTGTCTTCAAACTGGATGAATTTTCATCTCAAAGTTCTTATGATGCATGATTTTTGTCTCCTACCTCCAACAATTCTAAATAATCAGAAACCGGATCAACAACTTCAACACTGAATTTTTCATACTTTACAACTCCGAGAGTAGATAGGTCAACATCAGCAATATCTGCTATCTTTATTTCAGCGATCTGCATTGTACTTATATGATTCAAACTTATATCGAATATAGAAACGTACAGTAAGAAGTTAAGAACACATGAAATTCGATGCAATCTGAGTTTTGGAACTTATGCTTCAAGGTTATATAACTGGAGGGCAAAATTCAACTGGAGATTGCTATTGTCAACTATCTGTTTTTCAAAGTAATTGTTAATTTTGAATAGTAGAGCTTTATCTGTATTGAATCCAGAAGAAGACATGAAAGCAAGAAAAAACTAGCCACATTTGACAAGTACGAATAGAAGGATAGTAAATGTAGCAAATATGCATATGAAGCCAACACTTACAGAAAGAGTGTTTCCGTAAATCTTGTCTGTGATGGACTCGGGTGCAGGTTGGCCACTGTTGTAATTAAACTAGAAAGTGACAAAGAGTCAGATATCATGAAGTAGTGGATTTGGAGATATTGAAATTTATAAACACAAAACTGAAAGAAATTCAAGACAAAATAGTTGAAACATGGAAACTTCGAAGACTAGATCCTATCAGATTGCATTACACCATCCATTCTTTAAATTATGTATGCATAAGAACTCACCTTAATACCCCAATCATAATCAGGTCCACCAGGATTGTGGCTTGCACTCATGATAAATCCCCCATTCGCCTATAAAATAATTGATTAATCAGAAACAAGACAAGGGACAAATAAATCCAATTAAACAAGATGTGCCAAGATGCAGAAATACAGAAAAATCGAGCAGCGCTAGCTTGCCTGCCTCTTTCTGATTACTGCAGAAACGGCAGGTGTTGACAAAATTCCTTCCCTGCATCACAAAGTTCATCATTGACTCATATATTTAAAGCCGAAATGCAGTACATAGAAGAGCATCAAAAGAATCACAAGATTAAAACAATCATAAAAGGTACTACCACTGGAAATATCAGCCAACCAAGACACTTACTTGCCAACCAAAATTTTCCCAACACCGTTCCCGGCAGCAATTTTGATAATAATCTGCATTGTACATCCACAAAGATAATCACTAACGAAGACATAGGATTTGTAGCATCAATGGAAACAGAAAGTAAAAGCAAACTGCAAAATTAAACGCAGCTTTGATTGTTTACGAAAATAAAGAATGAAACATTGGTAAAGAACCTGTGCAGCTTCACGATTAAAGTAACGACCATCACCTCCTAACACCAATAACCCATTCTTGTAATCCTCGGGCGGCAATGAATCAAATAAAGCCTACGCAACAGAAAATTCGAAATGACATTCAAAACCACAATGCACTAAAACCAAAGATGAATTCAACACCCCACAAAACCAGTGTAAGTATTCATACCTGAATCCAATTTGCAAGGTAATTTTCTTGCTGAAAAACTTTCACCTAGAAAAACCAAATTACATTTTTCGACAAAAAAGAATCAGCCTTCAATTGTTAGCCGAAATATCCAACACAATGTAGGGAAAAGCTGTTTAATTTAGCTCCATTTAGATTACAGAAAGTCCATTCGAACGGCCAAAAGGGCATAAATTAAAATATTCAAGAACCAACCTTTTTTCGGAGACCACTGGTTCCAGTCTTCTGACCTTCGATTGGTTTAGTGGGAACCAAATTAATCTGAAGAAAAAAAAAAAAAAAAAACCCATTTGTTAAATCAACCCAGAAGTCAAAACCAATACAGATTGACAGAGAAAAACGCATTCACACACGGACACATATTGCAACACACAAATAGAAATTAATGTGCAATATACAATTGAGTGAGATACCTTGATGCCCTGTGGATCAGCAACCGTGGTTGGGGAAGAAGAGGAGGAGGAAGCGGCTATAATGGTGAGGGAGTGTGAGGTTCTGAGTGGGAGGTGTGGAAGGGGAGAGAAGGAGAGGAGTGAGAGAGATGGGTTTGGAGGAGATAGAGTGGCATTTGATGATGATGATAAAGTTTTGGGTCTGAAGGTTGGGGAAAGAAGGTTGTGTAATCTGAGAGAAAGTGCCATTGTTCTTGAGTTTGTGTTTCAGAGGCACACAGAGAGAGAGAGAGAGAGAGAGAGGAGATGTTAGGGGAAGATTGAGGAGTGTATATACGCTGACAGATGCATGGAAGTGGAGAGAGAGGAAGAAGATGTTAGGGGAAGATTGAGGAGTGTATATACGCTGACAGATGCATGGAAGTTTGGAAAATTCATGTTTGCCACATGTACGTTGGGTAACACTTATCTACAGAGTTGCGTCATCGTGTGAAGTTGAAGTGTGGGATCGCTTTTTCATACTTTTCTCGGGATATTGTATTGTATAGAGATGTGCTATCCATAAACCTTATTTTACTTATTATACATCTTTTAATAATTTATATCTATTGATCATCTTCAATTCATTTAATCTGATGACCGAAAATTCAAAAAATGTGTGAGAAGTAAAATAAGGTGTGTGGATATCACACCCCTACGGTATATAATTGAATACGGGAGGTGTAAATTTAATATTTAGGCTCAGGTATAAATGAAGGATGTAATCACTTTCACGGTTTTTGATTGCGATAGCTACTAGCGTATACCTTTGAGTGAAAGGATACTTCAGATTTGCAACCACAAAAAGATAAAAGAAATTCATGTATTTTTCGTTACTTAGTACAACATGTATTCCTTTACACTTAAATGAAATGTTTTAAGTTTGAGTTTCATGGATGATGAGTTTAAAATCAATTTATTCCTCTTACCTTTTAATGTAAATACATCATTGTTCCTAAAATAAAAAATAGAGCTTTTTATGTTCAACAAGAGGATGCTCATGTGGTTCAATATTCAAGTTGATGAGCTCTTAGGTTTTTACTCATGCCTCATTGGATAGAAATTCTCCACTTTGTCTATGTCATTGAAAATCGTTTTTGTTATTCCGTGAAAAAAAAATTCTATTAAATTGAGGGTATTTTTGTCCAAACAACCCTCCACTTGCTTTTTCATTTAACAGAGATTTTTCACAGAATGATCAAAATGATTGATAGTAGACAAACTCCAGAATCACTTTAATCAATTTTCAATTTTAAGAATAAAGTGAAAAATTATGCCAATCTTATAGATTATTTCCGCGAAAAATTATGTTCTTTAGGTAATCAAGTCATCAAAAAAGGGGTACTCACCTAATGATACCAAAATTGCATTGAACCGATTAAAGAAGATTAAATGGATGACCCAAACTAAAGCCCAATTGAATTAAGAAGAAATGTTAACAACCTTATTTGTCTTTTTATTTTAATTTTTTACACTTCTTCTCATACAAGTGTATTTAATTAGCACTTAAATCTAAAATTTTAATTATATTAAAATCACACTGTTTTTCTTTATTTGTTATTATAGCAAAGAACATTGGTCTAACATACCCAAGAAACCCAATAGGATAGCATTGAGCCGGTTATCAGTTGTGACTTGTGAAATTCCTTACTGTGGTTCACGTTACAAAGTCAGCAAAGTTTTTTCCATTTTCAAGTTTAAAATGCTTTATTTGCGATGTGATTTTATCAAATAATTTTGTGTAAAAGCATTAGAAATAAGCACACATAAATCACTCTGACAGGTAACCCTTAATTTAACCGCCACTTAAAACTTGAACAAAAGAATTTGCCACTAATGGAAAAGGAAATTAATATATAAAGCAACGGACTGTCTTGGGTGCTCTAAAGTACTCAGTATTTTGAGTTTTTAATCGTTAAATTATGGTTCAAAAATATAAAAATCAAAATTTAACAGATAAAACATCCAGAATATCCAAGATTTTTTTATAAGACATTAACAATGAAGCTAAGTGCATCTCAAGTGAGGTAACAATTAGATGACAAAGCTAGATTTGCTATAACACAGAAGAAATACGCATTTCCAACAAAGGTAGCAACTCAATTGCCACTTTTTCAAATTAGCAAGTTGGTTCTCATAATATAAGATAAAATTAATGGAAAACTAATGAAAATGGCTTGAAAACTTTGAGTTTTAACGATAAGGACAAAATAAAGGGTAAAGTGAATAGTACCATGATTGAATTTTTAATGTAAAAATGTGGTTTTTCATTAAAGTGAACAGTACCGAGAGCTTTTCGTTAAAGTTCCATAAAATTAAACAGTTGGTAGAGTGAATTTGAATGAGAAATTTCTACTTTTCTAGTATAAAAGTGTAAAATGAGTTAGCAAATGAACCCAAATCCTCTCCGGATCTAAAGATTATGAGCCTAAGTATCAAATGATCCAGACCGTTGAAATTTGATCTAACAGCTACAATTATTATAACTTTTAAAAGAAGTCTCATGTTTGTAACTATTGGATCAAATTTCAATGATCCAGATCAAAAGATTCTTAAGCTCAGGATCTTTAGATCTGGATAGGATTTAGGTTCTTAGCAAATGACACATTTAAAGAAAAATTTGTGGCAGGTTGACTTCAGCCAAAAAGTTCTTTGTGTACCGGCTACTGGCCAAAACCCAAAGCTTCTTGTGCGGTCAAGCGTTTAGGAGCTATACTATGTGTCGAGGTCCTATTGCAGGGTGGTTAAAGTTAGGTTCAACTTTACCAATAATGATGTCCACTAGGATTACCAGTGATGGCTTAGAGCCACACTTGATCCCCTCCTCTTGGACTACAGTAAAATTGCACCATGGTAGGCCATTTCTACTGTTTTATCACTGGGAAATGCCAAGTACGATGTCCACAGTCCGACATGTATCCTTGAACTTGTCATCGTTCCCCTCTCTCACTCCCTTTCTCGGTCTCTTAAAAAGTGACCACAAACCATAACACCACTTTACAAAAACTTGGTTTCTTATAATTCTCTTGTTGTTGTAAACATTGATGGTTGACCATTAAATGATGTAATGGATGACTATATCAACCATTTTAGGACACTATAGCTTAGCTGGCAACAAGCATTATCATCTGTGCCTATAAAAAGGAATGTTAAGGATAAGAGCAAACACATAGAAACCACAAGGCTCACGGAAGAGGAAGAGAGAAAAGAGAGGAAGATGAGAGAAGATAATAGAGAGAGTTAATTTGTACTCTTATTATTCTAAATTATAATGAAAGCACGACTGCTGCTCCAAGGATGTACTCCAGTCACACTGACTATAGAGGAACCTTATAAATTTTGTGTCTTGTTATATTTATTCCATTACACACACCGTCAATTTTACAACACGTTATCAGCACGAGAAACTCTCATGTCAATGGAAAGCACAACGCCATAAATCAGGTGAAGCACTATCTATCTCTCACCTCTGTCAGCTAAAATCTCACAGAATAAAAGGGTATGTCCATTTTCTGTCTCTCCCACCGCGCCAGAAGCATCCCACCGAATTTCGGTGAGAATTGAAATTTTACGACCTGTAGTCGTCACAATATGAGAAAACTCGTACTTGATAATTGGTTTCCAGAGATCCAGAAGAATCTCATCAAACTTAAAAACCCATATCATGTTGTTTTCAACAGATCTTGAGGACTCCCATGAATCCTCAGTTGTCTGAAATGGTGATGGTAGGACTGACTCCACACAGGCCTCCCTCTCTTGTGCCTCCATCAACCCCGCTGTCATCTATGTCTCTGTATGGAGGTTCTTGCTTTGCGATGCCATGTTCCCTGGGTCATGCAAGAACAACGTCAGTATCTGGTAGCCTTTTGGATTGAATTGAATTTGGGCAACCTCCACAACAACACAACTAGCCCTGAGTTTCGAGATTGACAGAGAATGAAGAAAAATAATAGAAAAGGGGGATTGATGGAATGGTAAGGCACATGTGAATAAATAAAAAATAAAAAGTTTGGAAATGTGTGGTGTTGACTGCACCCTAAGAAAAAATAATAATAAAATATAAAGGAATTTGAATGGTCCATGGCATCATTTGGTCAAATAAATAAATAAATAAATAATATATATATATATATATATATAAAGATTTATGTTGGTACATGACACCATGCTGCAGAAATAAGAAAAGTAATAATAACAAGGTTTGAATAAGTGTTGACAAAAGAAAGAAAAATAATAAATAAAAGGAGGTCAGATAAAATTCTATTTGCATTTGTGTTTGCATGTGCTGGTGGTATGAGCGTCTACTGACTGAGTTATATATATATATATCCTAAGAATGTTGCTTGGTTTTATATATTCAGCCTGCCTAGTTAATTAAAATCAAGCCACTCCAAGCAATTTTGTATATTTTTATGTTTTTGGTATTTATGTATTAGGAAATTTGAATACTTTCATATTATTTTAGTATGAATTATGATTGATTTATTGTTTGTTAAGTCGATTAAGATGTAGTCTTTTGGTTATGGGTAATGTCAGGTAAACCAAAATTTTCACATACCCTTTTTTACCTTCTGCACACAATTTTTAATTTTCGGTTGTCAGATCAAATGAATTGTAGAGGATCAAAGGACATAAATTAACTAGAGTGTGTAAGAGGTAAAAAAATGTGTGTGGATAGAATCAAACTTTTCTAATACAATATACGTCGTTTCAGTTGCAACACATACCTATGACCACATTATTGCTAGTCTATTGTGAGGCTTAACCCACTCCCCCACCTCGTGTAGATAATATTGTTTGTTCAAAAAAAAAAAAAAAACTTGGATATAAGTGAGACCTAGCACTATAAGGGGAGTTTGTTTGCCTTCACTAAACTTCCTTGGATTGGACTGGCTTAGCTGGGATTGCTAGCTAGTGTTTGATGCGAACATGGACTACCGTTAATGAGACTAAGTCGGACTCGAACCGACTAAGTCTTTCGCTAGGTTGTCTTAGCGGGGATCCCCGATAAGTATGGGATTGCTAATCCCGTCCCCAAATCTATTTCGTTTGCCCATTGCATCGTCTGCAAGCGTTCTTCTCTGCAACACCATTTGCCCATCCCCCAGATCTGAAACAAAAGCCTCACCCGTTGCTTAAATCTCAAAATCCAACCACAAAATTTAAAAAAAAAATTAAAAACGAAAAACAATAACAACAACCAAATCCAACCACCAAATTCAAAGTCAACCCCGTGCCAGAAAATTCCGAGATGGCTTTGTAGGCGGAGAAGCCAACGCATGTATTAGATGGAAGAGAGAGATCTGAAAATTTTTGGAAGAAAAAAGGATGAGGAAGGTGGAGATGCTTAATGGCGGCAAGAGGGTGAAGATGATAAGCTTGTTTTTGAAGGATTTGCGATGAGCTTCAC